AATTTTTGTCTTATAATATAAATACAAATATTGCAAAAATATAATCTTTATTTTCAAATATTATCATGTTAAATTTTGTTTAAATATTTTAAATAATTAAAAAAGTAGATCAGAGATATATTTATAGTAATTATGCAGACAAATTTGTCTGCAAATCTCTACCAATTAAGGGATAGCAACAAGCAGCCTCAAAGTGAATATATTAAAAGGGAGTTACATGCAACAATATTTTTGTTGTTGAAGGCAATAATTTTGTGTAAGGAACTAATGATAGAAATAGTATAGAATAAAAAGAATGGTAAAATAAAGAAAGGTGAAATGATACATAGCATAAAATTAGAACCTTAAAGAGTAGTTCGCAATTACTACATTTCTTGCTACCAAAACAATACGCTTATGGATAGTATCAAAATTACTATTAAAAACATTCATAAAGTGGAAAATATGCTAAGATGGTTCAGACATAAAAGAATAAGAAGATAGTACATGAAAGATCTGCAAGTAATGTGAGACAAAACCTTCGAATATATGAATAGTACAGACAAACCATTAACAAGATTTACAGATCCAAAAGAGTTCAATATTAAGAATTTTAAAGTTAAATTGTTAATGGAAGAGCTACCAAATTTCAAAATTTTGTTTATAAGAGACAAAAAAAATACATTAGTCCCGAGTGCAGAAGATGTAGAAATAGTATAGAAGATGACATATATTGGCTATCATGTGTAAAGAATACTGTCAAGCTAGAAGATATTATAAACGAAGTTCTACTCGAAATACAGGAAGAAAAAAAAATGATAGTCGAAGATAAAAAAGGTTTTATTGAATGGTTTAAAAATATATATCTACAAAAGAAAGTACCAATAGGAGTATTAACTGAAAAGACAAAATTTCCAAGTAATAACCATATGATTGCAAGAAAATTGACAAACAAATTACATCACAAGATAATTGTTAAAATTAAAGAACAAATCTGGTGGCAAAGTAGAATAGAATTGAATGAGTATCCAGTATTCATGACTAATTATAATACAAATTGGGTAATAACTGAAGTGGAGATGGAAGAGGAGAAAATAAATATTAATAATATAGCGACTAGATGGAATGAATCCTTTGTAAATAAATATAACAACTACATAAATATATTAGAATTAGTCTAGAGGTCATGACCTATCTAGCTAAGATTAGGTCTGGGGCAATGTTGCCTGACACCCACTTCCGTAAATACATAGTATTAATTAACAAAAGTTATAAATTTTATTACAAATAATAAAGGAAATGAGGGTAGACCTCTCTTATAAAAAATATATATATATATATATATATTTTTAGAATAAATATATTTGCAATATACTAATTTATTTATTTATTTTTTTTGATGTTAAGGTAATCTTATTAGTCTAGAAAACTTTTTATTAGATTACTAGTTGTAAACCCGTCAATAATGCACAGAGCTAAAATTTACAAATTTAAATAGATAAAATTTAATTATTATTATACTATATCCAATAAAGCTAATCAAATTTTATAATTAGATATAATATGAAATCAAAATAAAAATTGTTTTCTAGCTTTACTCTAATCTTAATCTTAATTGTAAAGTTTAATTTTTATAAAAAAAATTGGTTTAATAATTAATTAGATCTTAATTATAGCCTAATCTAGCCCAACCTAACCCTAACTCTATTAATAGCTGCAAAAACTATAAATTCTTATTATTATTATTTTTTATTTTTATAAATTTTCAATTTTAATTTTTTAACTTTTTTTTAACAATTTTAATTTTATTTATTTATTGTTTTTTTACTATAAATTTTTAATTTTTATTTAATATTAATTATTTTTAAAAGCTTTATACATATAACCAAAGAATCACAAGATTAATAAACATTTAAAGCTAAGTATATTTATTATTATTATTATTTTTTATACTTTGGCATATCTTGTCAGGTATTTATTTTAGTAATTAATTTACATATACAAAGTAGTATATTTATTTTATATTATAATATTTTTATATTATAATATTTTTATATTATAATATTTTTATTTTCATATATTATTAATGTATACTAATTCCAATCTAAACACTCAATTTCTAATTCTAACCAAAATATATATTATTATATATATATCTTGATTGTATTTAGTATTTTACAGATTTGAATCCATACTTGATGGATCTTAAAAATTATAGATTTGGATTTGATATATCAAATTTGGACCTGTATAAAAAACCAACTTGCTATATATAAAGAGTATAAAACAAAATTATTTCATATCCCAAATTAACCCGAAATACTTTTGAATCAAAGATAAAACCCAAAATTAAAAACTATATATTAATAATATATATTGGTTCGATAAGTAGTACAAAGCATCATCTATCATATTTGTTTAATCAAATTACTATTAAAAATTCTTTATATAGGGTATTCTCAAGCACCTGTTATAAAATAAAATTTATTTGGCAAAAAATAGTTTAAATTAGTCAAGCATGTTTATTATTAAGATAGGTATATATATATATATATATATATATATTTTTTTTTTCCCTTTGATAACCACGTACTAAAATTTTATTAAATATTTACTACTTAATATACATTAAGCTATTTAATAATCTAATTAGACTAAAACCCGGCTGTCCCTTCGAGATGCCCAAGTTTGGCTATCGCACTGATGTTGGCCACCTTATCCCATATACGTTGTGACGCATTTAAAGATAAGGTCTAGCCTGGGCTTAGCTCCCATCGAATATTTACAAACTTTTAGTCCACCAACTCGGTGGGTTAGAACTTAAAATTCTCTGTCTTACCGCAACCTCTGACAAATGTCTTACTTCTGAATCTACCAATTGATCCACCCCTACCATCTTTATTCGCTTATTCGTTCTAGATTGGTTCGCAACGTCACTACTCGGACCAGGTGCGATGTTCTCCTTTTCATGAGGCCTTTTCTTTTCTTCACTTTTCTTAAGTCGTTTTTTCTTGGCACCAATATTATTTTCTTTTTCCCATACAATAAATTTTCTACATCTATCACTCCATATCAATCTATGAAAGCATTCTTGCATAACAGATCATGAATAATTTTAATTTTTTTATTTAATAATATTTATAATTTTATATATATATATATTTATAAAATATAAAATTTATAATTTATATAAATATATAATCATATATAAATATTTAAAAAAAAAATTTTAATATCTAACAAAAAAACATGAAATATATATCTAATATTTGTGTTAATCAAATTAACAAATATGATTAGTTAATTTGCATATTATCGAGTCCCTCTTAATAAATAATTGGCAAAAATTTTAGTTTACAGTACGTATAGTATATACAGTTAGGGTGTTATCTCCACTAATAAATTAAGGGTAGGGGGCATATCGATTATTTTTCATATGATATTTGTGACACAATGTGATTTTTGCAAAAAATAGAAATATCCTACCAATAAAACTTTTTACTATTGCAATTAATTTTATAAAATTTTTATAGTAAATAAATTAATAGCTAAAATATTTGAAAAAAATATACTTGTATATATTGCAAAGTTTTCCAGGATACCTCCAAATTTTTCGGATTATACAAAATTATTAATTTTGATTGGTTAATATCATATAATTATCATATGACAAAAAATAGTACTAAATCTTTAAATTTAACTATCTTAATAAATATTTAACCAATTTTAATAATTTTACTACTATTAGAATCAGAAGAACCTATTCTACAACTTTTATTTAATTTTTAAAAACACATTAATTAATAAAATCTTTTTTTATTTTCTAAAAAAAAAAATTTTACTACTAAGATCATATGAAAAATGATCGACATGCTCCCTACCCTTAAACATTAGTTAAAATAATATATGAATATTATTAATTTTGGATTTTTTTTAGGTCATATATTTAAATACTAAATTAAATTTATATTTTTTAATATAAGTATCTAACAAAAATATATAAATTTTTTTTTTTAATTTGAAGCTTTTAACTAGCTCTACATAGTAATAAATCTATTTTTTTAATTTTTTTTTTTAAAAAAAATTGTAAAAATTAATTAAATAATTAATAATTAATAATTATTAATTATTAATAACAGTCAATATTTTAATTATTTTAGTAAATTATTTAAAAAATTAGCTCTATTATTATCTAGAGCTAGTTAAGTGCTTTAGGTTAAAAAAAAAATATAGTATACATTTTTATTAGATACTTGTGCCAAAAAATATAAATTTAATTTGGTAATTATTTTTTAAAAATATGTATAATTGCTAGTATGTAGAACTCTTATTTATTATAACAATAATTTGTATTTAGAAATAACTTAAGTTTATTTGAATATTATATATATTATTTTTTAGAGAATTAGATGTTTATATTTAGAGAATACCCAGTCAATATAAATACTAAATATCAAAAATTTAAATAAAAATATATATATCAATAAATATTCAGATATTTAATTAATATTTTAATTATTTTATTTAAATAAAATATATAGTAATTAGTGATTAACTTGATGATTAATTATATATATACTGCATATATTTATTTAAATTATTGCTTATATCATAAATTAATATTAATATAACAAAGACAAATAGACAGTATAACCAACAATGATATTTAAAAAAAGCATGTAGTGCTATAAAAAAAACTTTTACAAGAAAGTAATTATAATCTAATTGAAGATTTAAATTTAATTCAGAATATAATATTTGAAGAAGATTTATTACAAAAAAAATCAAAGTTAATAACTATTAAAGTTAAATTGTTATAAAATTTATTGCTACAATTAGTATATTTAATAATATTAAATAATTATATTTTATATAAATTCAATATAATGAATTATATCAACAAATAATTCATATTATTACTAATAATATAATAAATTTTACAGAGCAATCATTAACTTCGCTTATTAAAATTATTTAAATATTAATACAAGATTTTAAAAACAATTCTAATTTATTGCAAGCTCGATTATTATTATTCAATACTATAATTCAAATAGATTATAATGAGCTACTTCATTAATAGAAATTATGAGATATAAAAAAGGTCCAAATAAAGGTAAACTTTTTTCAAAATATTTACAAACCAAAGCAATAAATTTTATAAAAAATTCATTTGGTCAAGAAAATCATAATATTGAAGAATGTAAAACTACAACTAAAGAATATATCAAAACTATAAAGTCTTTAAAAAATAAACTAAATATAGTTAAAGTAGAAAATAAATCATTACATGGTTGAATTGAAAAATTTTTACAAATTTATAAACAAACTTATAAGCAATATATATCAAGTATATATTCTAATGCTTGCAAATTTTCTACAATAAATAAAAAAGAGTTAAAAGCTGCAATTAAACAACAATTAATGAAAACAAAAAAACAATATACAAACAAAACAATTAAAATAGCAACAAAAATTTGTCAAGCAGGTTCAATATCTTTTTGATCTGCTGTTGAATGTACTAAAACTGTTGTTGAGTGGCTTATTGATAAAGAACCAAATCAGTAGTTTTTAGTAAAAACTCTTGTAGAATAGTATAAAGATGTTGCAACTATATATACACTTAATTAATATAGTATAGTTGAAAAAAATTAATTCTTTGCTTATGGAGTAATGGCAGATGAATCTAAACAGGGTAATAGTAAAATTTTTATAGTTTGTTTTAGTTATTGAAATTTAAATACAAATCACCTATATGTAACTATGCTAGAAATAAAAGAACTTTCACATTGTAATGGATCAACTATTGCAAGTATAATTATTAAAACTTGTATAAATTGCAAATTAGATCCTAAAAAATATATTACATGGATGACTAATAATACTGCTTATATGTCTGGATACAAAAGTGGTGCAATTACACCTTTTAATAATAGAACTCAGTCAGAATTATTAAATCTCATGTGGTATGCATTTAGCACATATTATGATGACTCATTTTGAAAATACTGCTTTTGGTAAATTAAATGTTAATGTTAGATTTTCAACTAAAAATATCCATTTAATTTACTTTATTTAATTTGGTATTTTTATAATGAATATAATAAAAGTAAAAAAAACCCCAATGAATATGAAAACCTCTTATATATCAGATATATATAAAGAGCTTACTGGATTACAATATACAAAATTCCAAAAACCACTTTGCCAACATTGGTTATATGAGCTACATGTGGCCAGACAATTAGTTTATAGAAAAGTATCAATAAATAAATTTGTAGAATGGTTTGTAACAAAACTTGATACTTACAAAAATATAACAAAAAAATATGTATCACAATAGAAATTACTATATAATTGGCTTAAAGATCCTTTACTCAAAATTCAAATTGAATGCTTGGTAAAATTTGGAGAAGAAATATATGAACCTATAATGGATTTTTTAGCAGGATCTGATTCTACTTCTTGAGTATTATAAAATAATAAAGAATTTACTAAACTTCCTCCAGGATGAAGAGTATATGAAATACTGGATGCAGTTGCCCAATAGATTGAGAATCTTGAAACTATTATGGATGATATTTACTTGTTCTTTGGTAATAAGCTGTTAGGTGCTATTAATAGTTTGAATGATGATGAATTTCAAATATTAGTTGATGAATTGATTGCAGGAGTAGATGTGGCACTTGATTCACTGCAAAAATGGCTAGGAATGTGGTTGCACTTACCCTTGAGTATTGTCAGCTAGGAGGTGAAAATAGACATGAATTGGATCTTCTTCAGTATAGCTGGGCAATATAGAAGTATTATAAAATTATATTATAAAAAAACTCTAACCCTAACTCTAGAGCTAACTATAAACTTTACTATAACCCTTAACTAACCCTAACTAATCTCAAATTTGCTTAAATTAGTTCAAATACTAAGTTTATATATTATAATCTTATAATAATTTTATATTGCCCAGTTATACTAAAGATCAACCCATGAATTTGCTTTTGCATATACTAAAGTTATTTTGAAAATGTCATGGAATTATGATAATACAACAAAAATACAACATTATATTCAAGAGCTTGAATATGATGTAGATTCAAAAGTAAAATTTCAAGACTTTGGCTTATGTGAGGCATTAAAAAATCCAGCGTTCTTTGAAGAATTTGCAAAATTTGCAAATTCTAAATCAGAACCAATTTATCATTATCCTTTATTATACGAATTTGTCAAATGTCTATTATATCGTAATCCATCAGCAACAAATCAAAGGGCTTTTCAA